ATTGTTTCCTTTTCATCTGTATATTGTGGTAAGTCCACAATCTTTGAGTTCTTAAGATGTTCCTCTCTCAAAGCAGCTTGTAACAAGTGAACATTATTTCTTTCATCATCCAATTGTCTCTGCAAAGTTTGAACATGATTTCTTTCTTCATTTAACCGTTTTTGCAAAATTTCAACCAAATTTTGGAGAGATTCTATTATTGCTTTCTCTCCGCTAAACCGCTTCGAGCAGTGATGTATAGCTTTAAGGTTGGAAGTCATGTTTACTGAAGCAATTAAACAACAACTTTAGGGAGGAAAATTCTTAAGATTTTAACCCTATAATAGACAGAATAGAGATATGTATCCGTTCAGTTCCCTAAAGTTGGTAAAAAGATCTTACACCAGCAAACAGAAAACTGTTCGCTTCGCAAAACACAATACCCAAGAGATTTAAGGGTGCGGTTTTTACACGAGTCAAAAAAAACAAACCTGAAATCGTCAGACGGAGAGTCAAAAACCAGGGTCGATAGCTAAGTCAAAAGTTACCGAGTAGTCCAAACAAGAATCACAAATTCACAAGTCAAAAACCTCAACAGCAATAATATCCTGAGGCAATAATAAATTCAACAACAATAATATCAAAAATCCAAAATTCAACAACAAAATCTCAAGTCAATAACAGCAAACTCAGAAATCAAAAATTCAACATCTCAAGTCAGTAATAACTTCAACAACATCAAAAAATCATAACTCAAAAAAAAATTTCAAAATTACGAGCCAAAAAAATTCCATAAACCGCAAAGTCTCGAACCAGTAGCCAAGGTCAAGATCAATAGCCGAGTCAATGCCAAGGAGTCAAATAGAGTTACAAATTGACTTGTTATGTGATGTGTGTGGTGGAAATCTTGTTAAAACAAAAGGTTGTACTTGAGCTTTTTTTTTTGCACACAGAGATTCTTTTGCGAAAATTCTGAAGAGAGAAATAACTCTGGGTAGAGTATAGGGTGTTTTTACCTGGATTTTATGCAGTCAGTGGGCTCTTGTACAGACTACAAAAAAATCCTGCAAAAACCCCTTTTTTGTCAGAATTGCTGTGTCCGTGACGCCAATTAATGTCACGATCCGCTCGGGTTGAGGCGGAAGGTCGTGATAGGTTCTTTTCAGAATCTCAGAGTGCAAAAGAAAACGAGAAGGCAAATGTGTATGCTTAGACAATTTATTTGGGTATTTTGCGATAGAAGAGGGTGAAAGAGAGAGAGAGAGGGAGAGAGAGAGAGAAAGAGAGAGAGAGAGAGAGAGATAGAGATTGGGTCGTATAGCTACCAGCTGACGGGGTCTTCCAAGGTCCCACGATGGTCGTCAGTCAGTTGGTAGGGAGATCTC